GCATAGACCTACAAAACAAATGATTCTCTACACACTCTGCATGTCCCAAAGGGACGAGCTCAGAACTAGGGGGTCTCCACATAGGTTTGTTAAGATCCAAACAGTGGTATATTCTAACCTGTGCCTGGGAACCCTACAAACAAAGGAGTCAGTGGGAAATCAGATTTAAAGCCTCCATATCCAAGCCAGCTCCTAAACCAAGGAGCAAGGAGGAAGGAAACACAATATTCAAATCACTTATTCTTAGCCTTGTTTCTTTCTGCCATGTGGGTGGAAAAGGCAGGTGAATTGTGCAACTTTGGTTTATTAGATGACTACATTTCACCCTCTAAAAGGAGTGTGGCCACAATTCAAAATCACCCCAAAATAAGTATGCCCTACATCCACTGGCATGACCCCCATGGAGCTGTTGCCTTACTCTTCATGCTGGCTAATGAAAACTAGGGACCTGAGGTTCACTCCTGGGACCACAAAGCATTCCAACTCCAGAAACTGTGGAATTCAACCAGAAACAGCTGAATAAATAGTTATCAATGAGGAAGAATATTCTAGCAATCAGCACTGCTCATCCAATGAGTTAATGACCTTGAAGTTCTGGGGAGGGGTGGAGCAGAGGCTGGGTAGCTGTTGTCTGAACCCAGCAGTAGGTAGGAATTTGCACTGTGACCATTTACTTTCCTAAAAGTTCTAAGATTCTGGGTTAGACTGATGCTTACAAAAAAGGCTTCAGACATTCTATGACACCAAAGTTCCCTAACCCTCAGAAAAGGATTCCACAGTCCTATATCCTGATGGACCTCCCCCCCCACAACACGAGCACACATGGGCATACATATGCATAAGCATGCATGCATGCACATACACATGCACATATATGTGGAGAAAATACTGAAATGCATATAAACACAAACATGCAAATACACATACACAAATTCATGGAGAAACTTCTGAAGTGTAACATTACAGTCTAACTAAAATAGTATTTATAACATTCTATGTCATGTTTTTGATACCCAATAGTAATTTTCAACACCCAGCAGATGCCTGGCAATGTCTAGACATTTTTGTTTGTGAGGGCTGAGAGGAAGGTCCTACCGGTATCTCATGGGTCAAAGCTGTGTATGCTACAACACAAGGACCCCTGCCACCCAAGCACATATACTCAGTCCAAACTACTGAGACTATCAAAGTTAGGAAACCCACACTAAAGTTACCTAAGATTTCCCATTAGTGAAACTGATGGTGGATGATGGAACCTCACCATAATATTTCTGTAAGTTCCTATGAGTCTGTAATTATTCTAAACCAAACTTTAAGCAGATGCTTTTCAGTTCTCTCTTCTCTCAGTACAGCTGGGCCCTTCTCCATTGAAAATGAAGCGCTGTTTAAGCATCCCTGATTCAAGTTCTAGGGAACAAAAGCACTTCAGATTTCACGGTTTTCCCAACTGAGGCATTAATCCATGTGTCATGTAAATCACACGCATAGCCTGGAGGTAACTGTGTTAAAGCTTCATGGCGCATAGTCACCACGAGTATACTGGTGTTTAGAGGGCTCGGATTTTTAAGCCTTTCAAGTTTTAGCTTTCCTGAGTAAGTGTTCTAGTTTGCCTCTGTTGCTGTGATAAACACCATGACCAAAGCAACGTGGAGACTAAAGGGTTGGTTTTGACCTACAGGTTACAGTCCATCATCAAGGGAAGCCAGGAAAGAGGTCAAGGTGGAGGTTTGAAGCAGAGATCACAGAAGAAAGCTGTTTACTGACTCTCCTAGCTACTGTTCCTTCTTACATAGCCCAGGGCCTGCCTAAGGAAAGCACCACCCACAGTGGGCTGGGTCCTCCTACACCAATTAGCAATCAAGAAAGTCTCCCACAGACAGACACAACCACAGATAACCTGAGGGAGGTGATCCTTCAGCTGAGGTTCCTTCTTAGGTGTGTCAAGCTGACTACAAACCATCACAGGACAATGCTCACTGGTACTCCCAATTGGCCAATGGATTCCATTTTCCAAGCCATCTCCATAGATACCAGCACATGACATCTACAGGGCAATTCTCTGGTTGCCAAGGATCCAAGCCAAAACTGAAAGTCAGGCCAAATACCTTTGCTCCAGCCTCCTCAGAGATCCACACAAATGTCCTATTAGTGCCCACACACACTTTCCCAGTTTCTCCTTTATCAACTCCAACTTCTATACTCCCAAGCACTAAGGGAAAAGCATTTCGCTGTCTCCAAATGTGATAGCCAAGTCAGTTCACTGTTCTATGCTCCCACCCATCTCTCAGTCTTACCCTCTGCTCCCACCCCATTGCCTAGCCTGTCCTGGAACCCAGCACTCAACAGCCATGGAGTAAATTCCAGAAGTTTGCATCTAACACTCCAGACCAGAGGCCCAGGTTCCTTCCTCTGCAGCACAGTCCTAAGATTGGCAACCTGTTCATAAAATAGCCCTCCACCCAAAGAGTGCCTCTATGGCGCTATGTATACCACAGTATGCATACCACGCTGTGTATACCATAGTATGTATGCCATAGTATGCATGCCACAGTATGATTACCACAGTATGTATACCACAATACGTATACCACTACCACAGTATGTATGCCACACTGTGTATACTATAGTATGCATGCCATAGTATGTATACCACTACCACATATGTATACCACAGTATTATGCCATGATGTGGATACCATAGTATGTATACCACAGTATGTGTACCACTACCACAGTCCACAGTATGTATACCACACTGAGTATACCACAGTATGTATACCATGCCACCACTTAAAGTGAGATAGAATCATCTCTCTGTGCAAGTGAAGTGCACAAATTCTTCTGAGTCCCCTAAGATCATTTTAATTTAATCTCTCCTCTACTGTATGGAATCCACAGCTGAATGTTTTATTGAACACACTCAGGGGCAGGGGAGTAGAGGGAGAAAGAGAGGCAGTAGTTTAAACTGGTCCATGAATGTCACACTCATCTTATTCTAGCTGGGGAACTTCTAAAACATCCCACCTTATTCACTAGGAAAATGGCTGAAATAGCAAGGAGCCAGGAAGCAGCTCTTGAAGGCCTCTGAGGCTGACTCTGGTGCCTCAGGATGTGTCTTCCATTTGGAGACAGGACCTGGGTGGCTAACTATTCACCAGGAACAGTTAACTTCCTGTCCCAGGCCAACCTCTATCTGCCAGGTGGCTTCCCAAAAGCAAATGACCCTTTCCTTGCAAACCAGATTCTACCTGAAGTCTCCTTCAGAGACCCCATTCCAGGGCTGATAACTGCCAGTGCTCCAGAAGGAAGGAACACCACTTCTGGATTGTAACCGCTGAGCTCCCAGACACATAAGCTGGGGACACTGCTGAGGCTAGGCTGTGACTCTCTGAGCTGTTAGGAAAGATTATAGCTGGCCACTAGAAAGAGTACCCAAACAATAGGCTCACTAATCAGGCTTAGTCAGCCATCTCCCCCTGGGAAGCACTGTCCTCATCCTTCTATTGATTTTCGTGTTCTATATGATTCTCAGCACACCTGTGATTATTTCCCCAAAAGTCAAACAACTTCTGTGAGGCACCTGGAGGAGGGACCAAGTTGTCTTATGTCTGTCCCTAGGCCATACTGAAGGATGCTATGAAAGACTTGGCATCATCAGACACAGTAAAAATGCAATGGCAGACACTATTCTTTCTATCTGCAGGTAAAGCAGCTGTGGCTCAAAAGATGAAACCCAAATTCCAGGCCCCCAAACAGAAAACCCAGGACCTCACTGACAAGGTGGGCTTCCAATTCTCCCAAGCAGGACAGTGACAAAATAAGTTACTCATCTGTACCATAACAACAGTAGCCATTTTCCTGAGCCAGGAAGAGAACTTAATGAGACCAGTGGACACTACCAAAGTCAGTGTCTCATCCCACCCTTTGATGATGTCAAGCCAGTGCATCTTAATCCCCATTACCCCCCCCCCCCCACCCAGAAGACATTGACTTTAGAAGTCCCTATGGCTCTCTTTGGGGGGTCACACTACCCACGGCTCTTTGGGGGGGTCACACTACCCACAGAACTGTCAATGACACATGGCAGGGACTGAGCCATATACAAAGTGGTACTCATATGAGTGTCTGCATCTTCCCTCGGCACCCTGGTTGATGACTTTGGTATACGTTACCCAAATGAAAGCCACTTCTGAGCTCAGAGCTCTGTGACCTAGCACATGACTCTCCTTTCAGGCGAAGACACTGCAAGGCCATAGAATTTGGTCACTGTCCTGCTAGCTCCCCATGGCTGAAATAGTAGGAACATAGCAGCTACACTGAGCAAGCACTACTTAAAACAATTTAGAGAAAATCCTTTTCACAGGTTTTGTAGCAACAGCTGGGCCAGAAGAAAGTGAAGGCAGATTTTAATTTGATCTTTTAAGAATAATGAGTTGGGCACAAAGGATGGGTAACTCACCCCGGGCTTCCAGTCACTCATGGCTTTCCAGTGATCCTGTAGAAAGCAGAATCTTAGCTGCTATGGGGACCAAGACTGGTCCAAAGTCTCCAGCTGGGACTATGCCATCCTATGTATAGTGGATTCAAGGGACCCACTGACGGGGATGGAGGCAACTGAGAAGAGGCACTGCCTGGATCAAAACCCCTGACCAAGCCTATGCCAAGGCTGTTTGCCAAATTACACCAGCCAGTCACATGCTGATTGATTAAAAACAGTCTGAAGACTGAAGACCTAAACAGAGCAGGAAGAAGCAATAGGCACCTCTTGGGACACGGGGCCAGCTCACCAGGCAGCTTCCCAGAGTGCACAATTCTCTTTCTGTCTGAGGGGACAGGGAAAGACAACTGGGCTTAGCTTAGAAGCAATCTCTAGTGAGTAGCAGGCACCACAGGGTTTTGGCTGGGATCACTCAGGGAGACATACTGGGAAGTCAGGTGTCCCCTGGAATGCAGCGATCGCGGGCGCCCCCTCAGGCCGCAGGCCTGATGCAAAAAGTTACCTGGTGGAGGCGTTTCTGCAACTACCTTCTCCCTTTTGGGAGCCTTTTTGGGCTTGGCGGCCTTCTTGGGCGGCCTGGGCTCCTGCTGGTGCTGCTCCTGCTGCTCCTGCTTCTCCACCCCGAGGCCCTCATGCAGTGGAGGCGAGAAGAGCTCGGGCTCCCGCTCCGGATGCTCATAGAAGCGCCCCCGTCTCCAGAGCTCCTGGTCATAGTAGTCAGGCTCCTCAAAGGCTGCACCCTGTGCTCTGACCCCAGCCAAGGCCACCGCCACAAGTGCCAAGGCCAGCGCTCGGGAGGCGGACCCTGGACTGGCCATGCCTGCTCGGCCTCGCGCCCTGGGCAGGGTCCGGGTTCCCGAGAGCGACAGGCAGGCTACTGATGACGGCTGTGTCTCAGGACAGGGGCGCAGGGCGCTGCAGCGGGTGCAGATGCCGCGGGCTTTGGCGGGTGGGACAGGCCAGACGGGCGGGGCTGGGCCGGAGCTGGGCGGGCAGGGGCTCGCCCAAGAGAGGCGAGGCGCCGGTGGACCCGCCCTCCTTCCTGTAGGGGCCTCCCCAGCAGGTGTTGGAGGCCCATTCATTATAGTACTATAAGCAGCAGCCTTCCTTGTCTTTCCCATTCTGTCTTGCTGAGCACCCCTTCTCAGTCGGGGGGAGAGGGGGCATGCAGATCTTTGGGAGGGAACTTCGGGGCTGTGTCTTCCATTCCTTAATTTTGCAGGACAAACCTCAGTTAATACTGGCCTGAAATTCTGAGGATAGATAGAACCGGCAGGCTGCCCACCTGTCTTGCTGCCCCCAGCCCAGGCAGGAACCCCAGGTTTCCTGAATTAAGTTCCTTAAGAGCAGGGCCTACGGGCCTGGGGACCCCTGCTCTCAACCCTCCAAAGTGTTTCTGTTGGAAAGAATAGGGCCAGCCAAAGACCACCATCTTGTAAGTTACAAGAGGGCATTCATCTCTTCCAAGGATCAGGACTGTCTGGAGAAACCTAGTATCACTTCCTTTTGACAAAGTAGCCACACGCGCACACACACACACACACACACACACACTGTTAGAAAACATGCCTTAGATTTTTCTAAATCTTCTCTTAGTAGAGTGGAAGCTAGTGACTCCAGCTTCTTTCCCAGCTGGGATGCTGGGCACCCAATTCTGCAGCAATTGTCTATGGCGCCTCTAACTGATTGAGACAGGGTTAAAAGAAGAAACCTATTGATTCACAGGTTAAATTTCTGAGGCAGGAGCACCAGGCTGAGGTCAAGGTATGAGGTGGCTGTAGCTGAGGGACTCATTAGAGAGTTCTGGGGGCAGGTGGCTTTCATAGCCACTCAGTGTGTCCCTAAAGTCAGCCCCTAGAAGTAGTGCACATGGGGTTCCAGATATTCACTGACTTTTAGCTGAGATGGCTTTGCATCCTGCCTACCTCCTGCTTTGTGTGCTTTCCAGGAGTAGCCTTGGGTCTTTGCAGGCTGCCTTGCATCTCCGAGTCCGTACTCACAGGTCAAATATAAGCTATACCTTCAAATCACTCCTATCTTTCCTACCTCCAGGATAGAGTTTCAGTTGTTCCAACGAAACCCTACAACCAAGAAGCAGGCTGGGGAGGAAAGGCTTTATTCACTTGCACTGCCAATGCACTGTTCATCATTGATGGGAGTGAGGACAGGAACTCAAACAGGGAAGGATCCTGAGAGCAGAAGCTGATGCACAGGCCATGGAGGGGTGCTGCTTACTAGCTCACTTCCCAGGGCTTGCTCAGTCTGCCTTCCTATGGAACCCAGGACTGCCAGCCCAGGGACAGCACCACCCCCAATAGGTCGGGCCCTCCATCATCAGCCACTAATTACGCCTTATGGCAAGAGCTTATGGAGGCATTTTCTCAATTGAGGTTTCTCCATTCAGATAACTCTAGCTTGTGTCAAATTGGCATAAGACTAGCCAACACAAATAGTCTCTATTTTTAAGAGCTTGTGGGATTAGAGGAGGCTTTGAGATTATTCAAGACTGGTCCCAAGTGTCATCAGTCTGCTCTGTATATTTAACTCATCTAAGAATTCAGTAGCGATGCCTTTGGGGCCCTTGGGGGAAGGTCAGAGGGCCTTGTATCTAATTGTCAAGCCTCCAGGATACTCAGGATCCAAGATCCAAAGACTTCTCCAGAGTAGAAGAGATGGCCTCTCCTCCCCTGGCATTCCAGGCAGGGGTTGTTTTACATAAAGTCAGCCACTCCAAACTAGAAAACAAGTCCCAGAGATTTGTGTGTAAAAGAAGAAAGAGACTTCATCAACAAGCCACACTTCTGGAGTCCCAGCCAGCCAGATGAAGATTAGCAACAGATCCATTTAGGGTCCTGGTCAGAAGGGCTATACATATTACCCAGGCCAGGCCTATGGAGCCTCCTAAACACTAGACACAAGTGCTTTTCACATGACTGAAAGCTGAGATTTAACACTACCCTTCACTTGAATCCTACAATGGCTGGGAACAGAGTCAGCCTCAGACATCTGGCAAACTGGTCATGGTCCAGGCACAACCTGCTTGAGCCAGTAGTTAGAGCATAGTAAATCTTGGTAGCTTTGTACCCATTTTTATATCTCTCTTTGGCAACTCCAAGGTCAACAATGGACTATGCTCCTGCACTGCCATGTCTAGGAAGCGTCCAGAGAATGGCCCCATCTGAATATGCATCTCTGCATATCCCTAGAATCAGGAAATGAGTCCTGCTCATCTCAGCTCTAACTGCTAATGTTTGCTTGTTTGTTTTCCCTGGAGAGATGCATAATTAGAGCAAGCAGGACAAACAGAACAGAGACTGATTGCTCAGAGCCAGCTCTTCAGAGTGACAGCCAGCAGCAGCCCTCCTTGTCTCCCCTTCTCTCTGGGGATACTCACTTGAAATCTGTGGCATTCAGTCAAAGGTCACAAAATATAGAGAAGATAGCAAATCCGAACCTATTATTCTCATCCCCAAACCTCTTCTTGCCTTCCAGTGCCTGCCTGTCTGCCTCCTCGGCTGCCCTGATGGGGACTCTCCAACCAATCATCTGTCCTGTCTCTCCTTTCATCGCTGTGATAGCTATCAGCAGGTTCTGGTTCATTCCAGGCTAGTCTTCAACTCACTATATTTCCAAGAATGACCTTGAACTGTGAACCCTCTTGCCTTTACCTTCCAGATGCTGGGAGTGCAGGGATGATGGGCACATACCACAAATTCCAGTTTTATGCAGTGTTGGAGACTGAGCTTCATTGATGCAGGCAAGCACTCTACTAAGTGATCTCCACGTCAGCCCTGGCATTATTCTTTAACTAACTTCTTCCTCTGCTCCTGCTATCCATCCCCTAGTGTCTCATTCAAAGACTCATGCCAGATTCCTGCAACAATTGTGTCCTTGGTCTCCCTATTTCCAGTTCACTGACCTGCAGGACACCATGAACTTGAGGCCTCCACCTACTCTCCAATGTCACTCCCCTAGTGAAGATCCCACACAAGTCCAAACCATCTAAACGAGATCTCAAGCTCACCATGCTTAAAGATAGTCCTCTCCACTACCCAACATGTGACCACGGTAAGGTGTGTTTTTTGCAACCTCTGGCACAGCTTTTATAGGCTCTTCAGAAACCGATGATTTATAATAATCTGCTGATTCATCTTTTGCAGAAACAAAAAGAGACAGAAAATCTGCAGAAACAAAAAGAGACAGAAAATCCTCGTCACATGACTAAACTTGGCAAAGCTCTTTCATGGCATCAACCAGGGGTGCTTTTCTCTGCAACCGTCTTTGTTCTTAACCCAATAATGTGTCTGTTTAACTTTAGTCTGAGACTCCAACAAAGGGCTGGGAGTATCTCTCCAGGGATCAGTGGAGCTTTGTAAAATGTGGGCTTCTCTTGGGTGATAGCCATTCAATAAAGCCAGGCCTTCCAGTACGGGGACAGCTACTAGATAGACAGGGAAACCAAAATGGCAGCTTGGATCCCTCCTGTTTTCTGAATTTGCCACAGGCTCATTGTTTGCTTTGCTCAAGAACCTGTTACAATGTTTCTGTTAAGTAATGTAAGCCAACGTTTGTCTGTTCATCCATCCCTGAGACTCCGAATGCCGTTAAGCCAATTTCTGTTATACAACATAAATCTGTGCTTGTCAAATAATCCTCAGACACCTTACATAGCTAATAATTGTTCAAATATTTATGAGCCCCACAGAGGAGATTTATGTTAAGCTGCTTGACAAGGAAAAAGAGGCTGTGCAGTTCCATGGAACATTTTGTTGAAACAAATATTGTCAAGACATCAATACGTTTATAGCATTTTTTTTCATAATGGACTTTCACACCTGCTCGTTTCCCTAATTATCCCTGTGACTGTTACTCTTTTAGAATTTTTTTGAAGGATCAGTAATTTGAAAAATTAGTTGCTATATAAAGAAAAATACATACTCGGTACAGCCCATTTCTAAAAATACAGTCTGGAGATGGATGCTCAGGGAGAAAGATACTGAGTTGTTATGGCAACTATGATTATAATTACGAAGCTGGAGGGCTTTTCCTGTTCATTACTATGTTGAGATGTGGTGATTTAAACGGCATTGTCCTTTGTACTGTCTCAATCTCATTACTACATAATTATCCATTTCATATTTAATCTTCAGCATGTTTGTTCTTATCCCTATACCCTGAAGATTTGGCATCTTTTGCTGTCTTATTCTTGGTTCATGAGTCTCCTTGGAACCCAGCTTTATCCCCCACTCTGTGATTTCATTTTCAATTTGACCTTTGAGGAAGCATGCTAGGGCATGAGCTATTCCATTTGTAAATAACAAGACGCTATTGTGAAAGCTGTTGAGAAAGCATCCCAACAGACACCTAGGAAGATGCTGGACTCAGAAAAGTCAGAACCTCCCGGGCATCCTCTGAGATGCAGCATTCTTTATCACCTACTATGTTGTATTAGTTACTGTTGGGGGAAGTCCTGTGCATTTGTCAATAAAGTACTGTCTGGCCAATAGGAAATCTAGATAGGAGGGACTAGGAGTCCAGGAGGACTCTGGGTAGGAGAAAACACAAGAGAGTCAACATGTAACCGCCATGGGGGTAGGAGCCCAGAACTATTCTCCGGTAAGAGACATACTTAGATTAACAATTATGGGGTAATTACTTAAAGCAGAGCTAGCCAGTAAGAGACAAGCAAGGCCAACAGCTTCATAATTTATATAGCCTCCTGTGTGTTTATTTGGGACTGATGCGGATCTAGAACCAGGCGGGCGGAATGGTTTCTCACAAGGAAAAGCTTCTCGTAACAAGTTACTTTTCTCATCAATGGGACCAATGACCTGGCAAACCAACTTATAAGAAAAAGGATTTGTTTGGCTCACAGTTTGAAGGGATACAGTTGGTAGGGAGCACAAGGCAGCTGGGAGTGTTATCTGTGCTGGCTGTAACAGGTAGCAGTCACTTGTTC